ATGCCCTCCAAGGGCTGTGGTTCGGAGGTTTTTCCTGGGAATTGTGTCTCCAGGGAATTCAGGGTTTTGTGGTGTTTTTTGTGGTGTTTTTTTTTGACCTCAGCCACATCAGGTTGGCTTTGGGAAGGACCCTCTGTGGGTGGGGGGATTCATTTTGGGGTCTCCACCATGCCTGACCCGGCAGGGGATGAGGAATCTCTTCCAGGTGGGATTTACGGGGGATTTGCACCCTTCCCCTCAGTGCAGCCCCGTTTCTCTCCCCTCTGCCCCGTTTTTCTGCCTCAGATCGCCATCTACGGCACCAATTTCTGCACCTCAGCCCGGAACGCGTTCTTCCTGCTGATGAGGAACATCATCAGGTGAGATCCCGGGGTGGGGAATCACCCCTGAGCATCCTCCCTGTTCCCTGGGCCATTTCCATCRGAACTCAGACTGGCTCAGATGTAGAACCTCATCCCTCTCTCGTTTCCAGGGTGGCCGTGTTAGATAAAGTCACAGATTTTCTCTTCTTCCTCGGGAAGCTCCTCATCGTGGGAAGCGTGGGTAAGCACCGGCTTCTGGAATCTTCTCCTCGGGGYATCCGATGGTTGTGCCATCCCAAAATCCTCGCTCTCCATCCCATTTCCCACCTTCCCCACCCATCCCACATCCATTTCTTGCTTTCCCCAGGAATCCTCGCCTTCTTCTTCTTCACCCAGCGGATAAAGCTGGTCCAGGACACGGCGCCGTCGCTCAATTACTACTGGGTCCCGATTCTGGTGAGCCGCCCTCGCTCTTTGGGGTGACCGGGGAAGGAAAGGACACCCCATACAAAAACCCTTCCCAAAAGCTGGCACTTCAAGGATCGTTGTTTTTTGGAGGTGTTTTCCCTCTCGCCGGAGCAATGAGCTCTTTGTTGGCCGCCGTTGGCGCCGCGCCCGTCCGCGCTGCCCGCTTTGGCCTCTGTCCAGCGGCGCCTGAGGCCTTTTGTCCCCAACTCGGGCTGCTCCGAACAGTCCTGCCCTGTTTTCTTCTCCTCCTTGCCCCTGGGGAATGTGGGATTCAGCATTTTCCTCCTCTTCCCGGCGGGTGCTCTCTGAGCGCGCGGTGTCTTTTGCAGACGGTGATCGTGGGCTCCTACCTCATCGCCCACGGCTTCTTCAGCGTCTACAGCATGTGCGTGGACACCCTGTTCCTCTGCTTCTGTGAGTAGCAGCAAAACCTCCCGGCCCGTGGTGCTGACCCCCCGAGCTGGCCAGTTTTGGGGTTTGCTCCCCCAAATCCTGGGGTTTTCTCCCGCTTTTTCCTATCCTGACTCCTCACTTGTCTTCTCACCTGCTCCCTGCCAACCTGCATCTCTCCTCCTGTTCTGGTGCTTTGGGCTCGGTGGAATTAACTACAACTAACTTCAATTTCCCTTTTTTCCCCCTTTTTTTCCATCTTTTCCACCCCTCCCCGTGTCTGTTTTCACACATTCTCCATCCTCCATCTCYGCCCTGTCTCTGCCCGGCTCTTCCGCTGCTTTTTCGCTCTCCCCCTTCACGGCCGCTTCCTCCCGGGGTTGGAAAAGGTGAAGATCTGGAGAGAAACGATGGATCTCCCGAGAGGCCTTACTACATGTCCCCCGAGCTCAGCGAGATCCTGCTCAAGGGGCATCTAGAACCTTCCAAAAGCGCCGATAGCCAAGGCTAGGGCTCGGCGCCRGGCGGARGCCGCGGGACCCTCCTGGCCCCCCRAACCCCGCTCTGTCCCCYGGAATTCCTTCCTGAGGGTGGTGGGTGCTGACCCTCAGCGCCCAGTGGTGTCCAGTTTGCCTTCCTGCCCCAAAATCCGCGTTCCTGCATCGAGAGAACCCACCCGGAGTGGCTCGGGGGTCCCGGTAGCGCCCGGCGAGGAGCGCGGTGTCCGGAGACCGTCGTGGTTTTGRCGCAGAGATCGATCTTTGTTGCTGAGGGAGGGCTGG